GGCGAACGCGCATATACATGTATGCTTTCACGTTACATGTACACGTACATATGTAAGCATATCTCTATAGGCCAGGCCACAAAACACATCAATTTCTCGTAGCTATCCTCATTAATATTTAAAACAAAACCATCAGGAGAAGAAAGCTCTCACGTACCTCGTGTGCGCGTGGGTGGACTGACCCTCGACCTTGACTTTCGTCCTCGCTGCACGTCGGCCGCGACCTCAGCGGCGACCTCGACCGCGATCCTTGATAGGAAAGGCGCAGCTTTTGTAGAGTTTCCCGGCGCGCCGCTGACCAAAGAACCGGCGAACCTGTTCCTCAACGCGACGATCCTCTGTGTGCGTCTCGTAAGACTTTCCTCGTCGGGGAAGACGCGCGAGTAATATCCTGCAGTTTGCGCGCTGCGATCAGAGAAAACTGCGTGCGGGAATCCTGGACCCCGTTCGACACGATAGCGCGCGACCCGACACCCAAGATCGACGCGACGATAGTTCCGTCCTGGCACGTAAGGACCAACCCTCTTCCGCGTTCCGAAGCGGTCGGTTTTTTTTCTTCCTTCCGGAGGTGAAGTACCGTCTGTCTGTCGTCGTTTACTTCGCAGGAGAAGAGTGCTCGCTGTGCCGTTGTGCGCTCGAGAAGAGACCGCGGTGTGTATGTGTGTATGTGTGTGTGGATGAAGAAGGAAACTCGCGATGAGATTGTTTCGGGGTTTGCGCCCGACTGCGGCCTCGCGTAGGACGCTCCGAGCCTATGAGTCCCCGCTAGTCCCACTTACCAACCAACCAGAAACTCCTCGGGTATACTCGGTATATCCTAAGCTGCATCTCCGCCAATCCTCCTTCTACTCCTTCCTCCGTCGTTGTGCTCTCCGTCGAGCTCGAGCGTGCCTGTAATGTAACGTAAAGGCTGCCGCCGCCGCCGCCGCCGCCACCGCTCGGAGATTTTACTTGTGCTTTTTCGTCTTTCGGGCCCGTACGTACTCTCTCGTTGATCGCCGCAACCGGTCGTTGCCGGATCGCTAAGTGCTTTTAATTAACCGCAAAGGCGTTTAACAAGCTGTTAATCGATCGAGGGGGCTGATATGACCCGCGGGAGAAACGTGACCACGGTCGAGTTTTTCTTTTTTTCCCATCTAATTGGAAGTTGATACTCTTTGATAAGATCTAATTGGAAGTCAGTGCTGCTCTCTTGTGAGATATCAAGAGTATATTATCTCTTTCTCGAAGTAGCTCGCGACCGGGTCTCCGTATTGAAATCTATTAGAACGCCCCGACAACCACGTGTGTCTTCACCTTTCCATCGTGTGCAGAGAAATTTCTAAACGCGCCGTGTCTAAATAACTTTCCGCTCCGTTCTATTCGCACGCGCGCGCGCGCGCGCACACATGTCACGTGTATTACACGAGGATGACAGAGCGCGTTTCTGAATGCGGTTTTTTTTTTTACGTTGAAACGTGAAAACGCACGCGAAGGAAAGCGTTTTTAAAAAATATACGTTATATATCGCGCGAGGATGACAAAAATATGTTTTAGAAAGCTCCGGTTCGCAAAGAAGCTATCGATCGTGTCGCTCTTGTAAAATCCACAAGCTTTACACGACGGTAATTATTTTTACGAAGCGCATGCGCGCGGGAGAGCAAATCCCCGACGCGATTATTACTTCCCGTCGTTGATGGGCTCTCGCTTTATCGCGATTTTTCAATCGTAGACACGGTCGAGTAACAAGGTACCTACAAGGCCTTTCTCCCGAGAGTATCGATACCGCGCGTATTATTCTTCTTCTTCTTCTTCTCCGTGGCGATGCATCCACCTCGGTGAAAGTCCGCGGCTCTATCTGTTAGGCATAAGATCAATTTGACATGAACGCTAATCATTGTCTGCGGGCGAAATGCGGCAAAATTGCTCTCGGCAAGCGCAGAATCTCGCGCGCGCGCACGCTCGTTCACGCGCGAAAAGATTCTTCTCTCTTTCTCGGCAGGAATCCTCGATGGAAGAAGAATGTCTGAGAGATTCATCGCGGTTTCGATATCGTCTGTCCCCCATTCCCGAACCGCGCGGTCGTCCAGTTGTGATGATGACCACTAGAAAACGGAAAAACCGGCCCGTTCGTTACGCTTGTGAGTTTTTACACGCGGAACGACGCGGAATGAGATTCGCGCTTTCGGAAGGATGAACAGATAACGCAAAAAATGTCCGAGAAGTGTGTCGAAAAAGAAACAAAAGCCCGTTGGAACGTGACGCCGCGGAGTGTCGCCGCGTATTGTCGCGGACGTCGCGCCAACCGAGATCTTAGCTTTTTTTGGCCGGCGAAATATAAGTACGCAAGAAATCGCAGAAAAATCCTCGAGACTTCGCGAAGAAGTTTTTATTTTCTCGTTATGTGTGTTCGCGTGATCGCAAGACTTGTGAAAACGCGCCGGATAAGTTTTCACCCTCTTCATATTCATGAGAGAATTCGCTTTCTAAGTTTTACAGAAGTTTTGATACACCTCGCGATTATAAACGGCATGTGCGTCAATCGCGCGATTAAAACGTAAATTTTACGCTTTACTTTTTATGGCGATTGTGTTAACGGAGTTGGTTAAGGAGCGAATTATCGAGTTTATTGCTCGTGAAAATTTATTCGGAGAAATAAATTTTCATCAGGATAATGAGAGATTAGATCAAACGAGTTGATGTAACAAATTTAGCAGAATTTCACCTTTTCTACTCTCCGATTCCACCTCTCTCGCGCGCGGTTTCTTCTCTAAACTAAAGATGTGCGATCTAAATTGGACGAGTCGATGATTAGTTTTGATTTTCCCGATCAGTTCGCGTGATTCGTAATCGCGCTGTTCGATCGCGGTTCGAACGAATCTCGTATCTATTCGCGTTCGTTTGCACGCTGCGTAGGAGAACTCGATTCACTGACTCAGGCGCAGTGAAGCGCACAGTGCAGCGCAACGCGCGCGCGCAACGGTAACGGTGCCCCGTGCAGATGGTAACGCGCGCAAGAGTAGAGCATCCGCGAGTCGCGGGTGATGGACCGTGACGTTCTCACAGATAACTCACGGCTTCCGACGTCCATTCGCGTTCTGGTTATGTCAAGTTATCCTCGAATAACTTAAGAGAGCGTGGAGAAAGAGAGAGAGAGAGAGAGGGAAAGAGAGATTCCTTATATTTCGAGGGATAGAGAAGTGTTTATTTGGAAGACATCCGGTACATCTGCATTCTCACATACGTTTATGACAAGATATAGAACCGCATCGCAAAAACATTTCAAGTCTTTCTTCCCCAGGTTGCGCCGTTAAAAATAAATATGTTCACGCGCTATTTCTGTAGTTGTTCGAATATTACACGTGTAATTATTATTATTTTTTTATTTTTGTTTTAGAAAACAGAATCTTAAATTTCACTATTTCGTTCGTAATAAATTTAATTGTGACATACGATGTCGAAAGAAGTTTTTTTATAGAATGATGAAGAGGTTGAGTAACACCTGGCACGTGCGACAACGCTGATGTTATCACGACCTTTTATTCCTGAGGATGATTTTCGGATTTAATTAAATCTTGCTGGTGTTATTTTTATACCGACGTTTCGTGGATATTTCAGTTTACTTCATTAGAGGATTCAAGAGCCTGATACGTCGGTACGAGAATGACACGTAAACGCGATTCAAACTCGAAAACTATCTTCGGGAATTCTCATGACACACCGCGAAACCATCAAATATCAAAAGACCTTTTGTATTTTATTTTGAGAGTATAAATACAAATTAAAGTAAATTTAATAAATTAAATGCAATTATATATATGATGAGATTAAATATTGTATTTAATACTTTGTAAACTGAAATATCCTATTACCGTTGATGAGGATTATTCCGCAAAGAAGAAAGAACCTGAGATGTACAGAGATGTACTGAGACATCATATCGAGCTTTTTCTTCTTTACCGACTTGCGATAGAGATTAAACGTTCTTATCCAGACTCCGACCGCATCCTCGACAATTTCGAAGATCGATAAATCGCTTCTTTACCACTGATGTGTAATGCGCGCGTGTACGAAAGATGATATGATATGAGACGATATGACTTTGCAAAAGCAACAATTTTTATCACCGATATTCTTTTCCTGCTAGTGTGACAATTTTTTTTCACACGGAAATTGGAAAGGAGCATATTGAAGGAAAAATCCAATTGTTCATGCTGTCATCATTTATACTTCTTATTAAGTTATTAAAGTAAAATTAACAAATAAATCGCGTTGAGATTCTCTCTTTCTTGTTAATCTCATTTATAACGCTAAAAATATATATTGTAACACACTTGTCAAACTTTCAACAGCCCGACTTGGATATGTACAAAAAAAAAAAGAAAAAAACCGACAACAACTACTGTTATCGATAATACCGAATATATCCTATCATGCGGTACAGAAAATCGGTACGCATTAAGAAAATATGTGATATATTTCCTCGTTCTACAATAAGAAAAGTAATACAGTAACTACGACCGAGTTACTTCAGGAATGCAAGACGGTCAGTTCTCTCGTGCGTACTGTACAAAGTTACATAGACATAGGCACTTACTATAAGTGATAAATCTTCTCTTATTTCTATGTGTCTGTACATGCTTTTTACACTCAACATTCGCCAGTGTCACTATAGTTTGCGTATAATAGTATTATTACGTTGTGCGTTTCGAAATTCTAAATAATTATCAACGTACATTTTTCCGGAAGAATTTCTTTTTTTTTTTACTTTTTCATAAAAATGTAGATCTAATTGAATTGTCAGATACTAAAAATTATATATGTATATATAGTCTCTAAATGCCGTTAATTGAAACAGTATTAAAATGTTATTCCGTATTTTGGCACATATGCTCCTGGTTGACGGAATGTGATGGCTGATAGTATGTTTACATATATACATATATATACTATCTAACAAAACATCCATATATATATATATATATATATATATATATATATATATATAAAGTATGCGAGGATGTAATTAGAACTAGTGTCAGTGGCGAATATCGTTATCGGATTATTGGAAAAAAAAGTAGAGGTATCGCAGAACAGGTCACACACGTGAATTAATTACGGACGTCAAACGTAAATCATGTGATTCCATTGTCGTGGCATGCAGTAGCCGCTGAAAACCTTGATCTTCAAAGTCCCATTGTAGGATCTCGCGGTTGTGACACCGGGTTCCGTGTGATGTTGGGGACATTGATGTGTCGCGGGACACTTGCAGATCGGCGAGGCGTTCACTTCCTCGACTTGCGAATTGTTTCTCTGACGCACGGTAAACAGGCGGCATGGTTCTTTCAGCTGACATCGTATTTTCTGCAAAATTCCGTTTGTAAAAAAATTAAATAAATTTTCTCTCGTTTATAGAAGTGAAATAAAATCGATCGATCGTTCGAGATAGATCACATTCGCGAACAAGTTCATTCGCGCGAATAAAAGATTTCCGATCGATCATCAACAAAATTGGGAAATTTTATATCTCGTACGCGTATTGTTGCGACTTACGCTTTGCGGCGAGCAGGCAAAGGCGTACATCGTCCCGACATTTCCGTACGGTGATGTGTAGGGTAGATTTTTCACCAGGTAGGGCACGCTGTTTCTCCGACATCGACAGTAAACGCGTTGCACCGTTGTGTTCGCCGGTCCACCTCCGGGCGCCAGCGTCCACGTGATGTCACTGCGGCAAGGAAAATCGATATATATTCTCTCCAGCATCGCGATTAATCGGGAGACACGCACGTGTGTGCGTCTCGCCGCGTTGGGTTTCGAAAAATTACGTCAATTATCGAATACGGTTACGTGAAAACGTCAACTAACTTGAAGTAACGACAGTAGGGAAGATGTTTCACGGACTCGCAGACCTTGTACCGGCGAGTCTTATCAACGATCGTGTATTCGTCGCTCCTGTGAACGTTGCTGGGACAGGCACGGCCCTGCGGACAACGGCACAGTCTCTCGATCCACGGTGCACTGTATAAATCCACCTTGCTGCATACCTCGTACTTGTGCGTGCACTCCGGCAATTCCTCCTCGCTGTTCTGTGTAAACAACAAGCATCCGCGTCATTAATAAAAACAAAAAGAAAAACACGGTTATAACGTTTCGATCGCTCACGCCGATTAAAGATCTTTCGATCGCTTCGAAATTCTCTCTTATTTTTTGAGTCACGTGTCTATCGTTTGGAAAAAATCTGAAAAATCTGGAAGAGTTTTAGAAAAAGATTCTGGGAGAAAAATGTGAAATATTTTCAAGAATGACAAAATTAATGATAATAATAATAAAAATAATAAAAACAATCGAATCGATCGATCAGCGAGAAAATTTTCACGCCGATTTCTGAAGATACGACTGGATACACGATAACGGAATTATTAGCGCAGGACAATTAAAGACCGCGCGCGTAATTGTACCGTTGCGTAATAATAAACGTCTGAACGTGTCGCGCTATATGGGACCAGGCTAATGAAATAAACGAGACAGATTGCGCACAGACTCGTAACTAAAGTATATCCGCTCTTTCTGCCGGCGATACAAAGTCTGCTATAACTGGACTATTTAGATGTTGCCAGTCCATTCATTGAGGCAATCGCGTACGTCCTGTCCGGCCTATCGTCATCGGCCTAACGTCAACTGTATACCGTAAGGCGATGACAACACGAAATCTCAAAATATCTCTGTCGAATTGTCGTCGGATTTTTTTCACCGATCGTTGCACCGTTGCATTTTTCTTTCACTTTTGTCTTTTGACACTTTGCGAATTTTAAGTTTTCGCGCCGATGTGATGAGAAACTTCGCGCGTCGCCATGATCAGTTCAATAATCATTTTAGTGTAATGTCGGACATTTATTAAAGAAATAATTCTTATATTATCTTAGATTATGTAAATATTAAACGTAACAATTGTCGATGTTTAGAATATTTTTAAAAATATTTTCTAAATATATTAGTGTCTAATTTTATACATAAATATAAATAGTTTATCATAATTATTTCTTTACTAAATATCCGACCAATGGCGCGTGTCCGGTTATCGGGGCAGTTACTTTGTACCGTTAAATCGGAAACGAATTGTGGAATTGTCGAGATTTTTAAAAGCAAAAAAAAAGAAACAAAACAAAACAAAAAATCAACGATGATTTAACGCAATTTATCGCGGACACTGATTCATCCTCTTTCCGCGCGTTCGCGAATATATCAATTTGCGAACAAAAGAAGAGGAAAAAAAAAAAGAAAAACAACACACTGGTCGCGCGTGCATTCAGTCACGCGCATTTTCTCTTAACGCGGTACATTTATCGATGTGTACGATAGTAGTGCGTGAGTCGAAGTAGTTAAAGCAACGTGCACCATTCAACGAAGAAACGTTCGAGGAAATGGTCTTCCGCCGTTTTACCGCCGACTGTGAGCATTCGACTTTTTGCTATGAACCGTCCGTTCATCTCGTTTGCCTTTTTGTCGCTCTACCCGCGTCCGTAGAGAACATCTACTACTACTACTACTTCCACTTGTTACTACTGCTACTATTACTACGACCCCATCCGCCGACAACAACACAACGGGCCGCACGAATAGGCTTTTTATGGGGAAAATCCTCCTTGATCTCGTTCCCCTTGGAATATCCGTTCGCGCGTCGCAACACCTAAAAGTCTAGCCTACATCCGTAAATACTGCAACGGCCGAGCAACGAATACAATGCTTTTTCGTCGGACACAATCTTCTTCTTCTCCCCGTTTGCAACATACAAAGTTTTGTAAATCCCATACGGGGAACAACCGACGTAAACGCATTCCTCGACATAATTTATGTACAACGTTTCACGGAATATCGTTGTGTGTGTGTGTATGAAGATTTTTTCTCCTTCGGGAGATGCTATTTGATATTTTTTTTTTTTTTTTTTTTTTTTTTCATCGAAAAGAAAAACGGAGAATTCTTCAGAATGTTTCGTCACGGATCGCTCACGGATCGTCGGTTTTGACTTCGCTCGCTTGTACATACGACTGTTAATCGCGCATTTGTCCGCATTATCCTCGCGGCACGACGTTTCCTACGCATCCTCTTTATTCTACTTCCGTCGGCTCTAAGAGCCGAAAGAAAAGAGCCGAGGAAACGAGAAAGGAACTTTTTGAAGCTGACATATAAGCACAGAGCGGAGCAGAGCGGCGGGATTCACGCGCATAACAGCGGTGGTAAACTAAAATGGGATAATAGAAGGACCGGAAGGGCGCCGTAAACCATCCGGAAGTTCTCACGCGTCTCTCGCTTCTCGCACGGCCGCAATGAAAATGACACCTGGCACTCGGGATGGACATACTACACGAAGGCAAAGGAGGAGGACGAGAGGGAGAGGTGGTAGGTAGCCGCTAGAGGCACCACGACGACGACGATGACGACGACGGTGACGACGAGAGAAGAGGAGAAGGGCGCGAAAGAGAAACAAGGAACGAGCGCTACGGAACACAAAAAAAAAAAGAAAGAAGAAAAGAGGGGCAAAGACGTACGACGACGCAGGGAATCTGGTCGGATGGATGGATGGATGGTGTTAGTAAAAAGATCGCTCGCTCATCGTTCCATATAGCTGCCGCGCACCGGATGTCCCTAAGCCTGGAAATCTCACCGGACGATCGAAAACACAATACCAAAGGACACCACCGGTTGTGCTCCACATAATCGAATTAGCATTCGATCCGCGTCCATTAATCATTTCGTACGGTTCGGCCGGCTAATTGTGATGCAAATCGTCGGATAAGTGGGGGAGAATCGAAGAAGAGATAAAGAAAAAAATATTTTCACCGAGCAAATTGTCTTCTCGGTTCGTTCGAGCGAATTGTCGAATTTTCGCGAATTTTTATCTCGTTATTCTTCTTCGTGAAATCTCGATAATCTTTTCAACTCTGATAATCACGTCTCGAGATTCTCTTCCGTGTTTAGGAGCGGGAAACAATAATAAGGAATTGATGTACAATAGTCAAATTTACAATTTACTCTTCAAAAATTCTCAGGAAATTCTTTTCCTGAGATTAGAGACAGGCGCCATAAAACAATGCGAGTCTAATTACCGACAACGAAGAGAAAAGAGAGAAACGAGAAGATGAGCGCGCGTTAAAAAAATAAAAAAAATAAAAAAAAAAAAACGAAAACAAAAGCGAAAAAACGAGCTCGCGCACACGCTTCTCTCGTCCGCGCGATTAACCGGCGCGATTTCGTGGAGCCGCGTGACTTTCGTGCGATATGCAAGGAGCAGTTTTCTCTCCTCGACGTGTCGTCATCCCCACTGTATCATTCCTGCGCACGTACTCTCTCGGCCCACGTGCGAACACGTTACGTATCTACGATACGGCCGCGTCGTACTTGGGTGTCGCGGTTGTCCGCACGTGTAAGACCTACGCACACACGTACATCTCCCAATATATACGCGCGCGCGCGCGCGCGTGAGCGGGGCCACGCACACGCTCACGCGCGCGATAGACACGTAGGTGTTTACAGCAACGACAGCAACAGGTTCGAGCATCGAGTGGGCGCCGCTCTTTGCTAACGGCTACGTTTCCCTCTCCATACTTCCTGCGTCTGTAAGCGGACGATTTAGCTTCAAATCCTCGGAATGTTATCCGAGACTGTATAAACTCTGGTGCGTGTGTGTGTGTGTGTGTGTGTGAGCATGTGTGTAAATAAATGTATACACGCGCGCGCGCGCACCTCGAATTACGACACGCATCTCAGATGCGCGCGTGCGACTTACTGGAGAAATTAAAATTTGTCATCTGTCGAGATGTGAGAAAGAAAAAAAATCGAAAGTCGCGTAACCGAATTTGCGGCCAAAGCGAGTCGCTCGGGATTTGCGCCGAAAAATTGCGACGTGTGCGCACACTTTGATCGTGAGAAATAGCGTGAAATATGTTCCCTCGCGACGTTCCCCGGGCAAATACAATTGCGTGGCTCGTTAAGATAGACTCGCTAGGATTAGGTCACCAAACGCTTAACCGCCTTCTAGAACAATTTAGGCGCTAATTCGCTACGCGGTGAGCTTAATAGGCGGCGCGGCGTAATCCTCTTGATGGAATCAAGCTCGGAAAAAAAAATTGTTCGCGTAACATTAAATAAATAATAGGATTTTAAATGTGTGGTTTCGCGCACCTCGCGCGAGTCGGAGCGAGAAACTCGATTGAGGGCACGAAGGTACACAGAGAGACAGAAACAGAGAGAAAACGAGAAAGAGAGAGACATCTTCCGTTTGGTGTGACTTGAAAGAGGGTTGGTTTCGGGCTTGTTTACTTTTGCAAGTTTACGTTTGAAAACAATTAAAATCGCGCGGACTCCAACTGTGTGTCGAGCCATTGAATTTTGAACTTCGACCTTTTCCGCGCAACGTAGAATATATTCTCAAGGATGATGTCCTACGGCTCGTGTTATCGGAAACTCCGGGACAAACAACTTGTGTTATCAAGATTGAAAAGTTAAGTCGTGTGTTTACATCATTCTGTTCGAACGGTTTTGATTTTTGATTTTGAAAATTGTATTTTTGTTTGAATTTTTGTAACATCTTTTTAAAGTCGCAACTTTTTGGAGTTGCGACTTGGAGAAGTTGAGGGAACGCGAAATTGTCGCGTATTAATTAATAATATATGTAGAATTTTAATTTCCGATCGACGATTACGTATAAACGCGTCGATCGACGACTTACCCCGATTTGATAGAGTACTTTCGGTTCCGTGTGCAACCTGTAGTGCTTGTTGTTGTCATCGATCAGATCGATCTCGAGCGCGGTCAAGTCCTGCAGTCCGGCAAAGAGAGCACTGTACTTGTTATCGTCATCGAACGTGTCATTATACTCTTCGTCGCTTTCGGTCCCTCTGTCCGTCGTCTCGATATACGCGCATTTGCCGCGACGAACGACACCGACGATCGCCAGCAGGGTGTACAGCAGCAGGTGCTGTACCATTTTGCCGGTCATCATTGTATCGCGGGGACCGGGGGGAGACAGGTAGCGCGCTCCTGAGTTTTTCTTCCTCCTCGAGAAATGAATCCCACGAGAGAAACAGAGAAAGAGAATCGTCCGCCTGGGGGTCGCCTGTTTGTGTTTCTTCTCAGCGGGGAAACGCGCGTTGCTGCGAGTTATAAGTCTTTTGCTCTCGGTGGGGAGAGATGCGATAAAAAGAACGAAGGTATATACGTTCACCTTCTTGTTTGCGCGACAAGGCGTACAAAACGTACGAGAGAAAGATTGTTAAAGAAAATATTCAGGCTCTAAGCCTGAGAAATAATATACTCGCTTCGGGATACATTCGAAAAAACGAAATGGGAACTCCAACAAATCCACTTGACGGTGCTCTACTTGAAGTTCATCCTCACTATGACGCCTCGCAGAACGATTCTCAAATGATGTATTCGAAGTTCCGGTCCCTCCGTCGTCGGGGTCGAAATTGAAGATCTTTCGAATCAGAACTCACAAACTACTGGAAAGATCTTGTTTCCTATTTGCTTCTCACGATCTTCTTAACTTACGAAAACAAGAGTGTCACGTGTTTCCTTCGTCACGTGTCTCCTCTTTCTCTCACTCTTTCTGTTCTTTCTCTCTGTCTGTACTTTCCGCGCAAGAGTCTCTCGCGACCGTTCGATTTTTTTTTTCAAAAACACGGAAGAGAACGAGTTCAAATGTATGTTAAAACCTGACGGACGGGGATGGCTGGGGATTCCCCCGATCTCTCGGTCCAGATTCAATCGAGCGTATCGCACTCGCGCACTCTCACTCGGACGACTCTCTTCCGCCGATCGTCGTCGATTCGAACTTCCTCGCCGCGCGTTGCGTATCCGCCGATCAATCAATCAATCAATCGACCGATCGATCGATCGATCGATTGTCTGTCCGTTCGTTCGTTCGTGCAAAAGGCTCCTTTTTGCGGTTTTCTTTGCGCGCGTGTGCCCTCTCCCAGAGAATGGGCTTGAGGCGAGCGATCGCGCCGAAGCGAAACAGAACGTCGGGGACGAGATCGGCCTGCGCAAAGGTATGCCGTCCGCTCGACTGGACTCTTAAAAGCCACAGAAGTAAAGCATGAATGGATGCCCCCACCTCTTTTCCTTCACCCTGTCCTGCCCCTTGCCCCTTGCCGCCCTCCACCATCTCCTCTTCTTCATTCTTGACTACTCCCGGTGACTCTCCCTTCCCCTCGCATCCCGCACTCCTCCTGCTCTTACGTCATCCCCACTACTATACTCTCTCTCTATCCGAGAGAGGCCCCGACGTTTTCATCGTCTCGCCGTTTTCTTGGGACACGTCGTCGTTGCCGTTGTCCTTGTATCGCATCCTCCTCTTCCCCGGCGGCGAGCGCGAAGCCGTGCGCGCGCGCGCGCGCGTGCTCACGCACGCCGCCGCCACCGCCGCCGCTGCTGCTGATGTTGCTGCTGCTGCTCCGCTCCCCGGGAGCAGCGTACATTAACGAATGTTTTACTCTTTCTCCGGGACCCGTTTGCATTCGCGCGCGCCGCAACACCACAGTCGTGTTTTGCCGCAATCCGCTACTACGGGGGTACCGCGTAATTTTCTGCATAGTGTTTCGCGAACCTCCACCATCGCCTCTCCTCTCCCTTTTCTTTTCTCTCTCTCTCTCTCTCTCGGGCGAACCAGTTTTTCACAACATCCGATGTGTCCCTCCACCGTATATTTCGTCGATCGAACTCTGATCTCCGGTAATGCGGCGTTTCCTCGTTGAGACGATTTCTCCGTTGAAAAACGCCGCGTTTTCTCGTCGATTTAATTTATTACACGCGCTTCTGTTTCCTCGCGAGGTAAGTCGTTGTCAGCTTTAAAGAAACGCGCGCGGGCTATCTCTTTGAATGTATGTATGAATATATTACAGAGAAAAATCTCTCTCACGATAGACACACACACACAGCACACGAAATTAATGATTAGAAATTCTCGTTCTTGTGTTTGCGTGCGAGTATGCAATCATACGTGGCGATTGTTGCGCGACTAATGTTTACATGTCACGTATTTCTTCGAAAGCGAGTAAAAATGTTCCGCGAGATGTTGTCACGCGCGATTGTCGGATAAAATGAAGAACCAATAAACGGCATAGGCTTTCAGCTCCGGAGATGTTTATCATTTATTGGGAATGCAAGGGTACCGTACGAGGAATGCTGTGAAGAAATGTTAGAGCGGCGTCCGTGTGGTGGTAGAAGCGGTCTCTCGCGTTGCGACGATACCGTTCGTCGCGTTCGTCGTTTCCGGTGCGTGAGATCGGGAACAAAACTCGATAATTTTTTTTTTCTTCTTCGTTTGCAGGAAAATTGTACGCCGCGTTCGGCAAACGGCACGGCCGCATCGTGTCCACGGAAAATGCTCACGGCTTCGGCGGACAGTTCAGAGTACTGGCCACCCTACCGGTTCTCGAGAGTTTCCATCTCGCGAGGGAACTGCGGACGCAGACGTCCGGATTGGCCAGTCCGCAACTAGTTTTTAGTCATTGGGAGGTAAGCTATCTCCGGGATGTACGCGGTGGTGGTACAGAGATTAAAGCACGAAGTGTTTACAAGATCATCATCTCTCCTCAGAGTTGTCCTCTCGGTTAGTTTTGAAGAAAATAATTAGAAAATAAAATTTGGAATTGGTCTTATGCATCACAGGTGATCGAGCAGGATCCCTACTGGATGCCGTCGACGGAGGAGGAGTATCTTCATTTTGGTGAAAAGGCGGACAGTGATAATCGAGCGAAACGTTACATGGACGCGGTTCGTCGAAGGAAAGGTCTTCCTGTGGACTCTCAACTAGTTACTCACGCTGAAAAACAACGCAATTTGAAAATTAAGTGATTTAGCGAAATTCCTTTTCTTGCGTGAAGTGTATTAATAAAAAACAAAACAAAAAAAAAACAAAACAAAACAACAAAAAACAAAAATAAAAAATAGTGCATTTATTCCGTCTCGTCCTTTCTCATCATTCCTCAACTTGTTGCGCTCATTGAAGTTTCTTCTCTAGTAGAATACAAGTTGTAATTGTAAAGCGCGAATTTGTACAGAGACGGAGAGAGAGAGGAGAGAGAAAGAGGAATGATGTTTTCTTACTTTTACGTACATATAAAAGAAAACGATTGGTTTATCATAACATTTCTGATTTATTGTGCCATTAAGATTCTTCCAACGGTCATGATTGTCCGACGATTAAGAGACTTCTGTTGTTTGATTAAATATTCTTTTGTGGTAAATTACTACGCACATTTGTCTTTATTACACATCTCTTACAATAAACACATGAGAATAACACAATTGATATCTTGCTAGTAGAGAGTTTACGGTCAATGAGTGAATCAACATGCAAGATATATTTTCAAACGTGTAAATTACTACGTAGAAATCCGAATTGGAGATCAATTTAAAAATTCTAAGATGTGTTTGATTTGCATCTCGTATATAATTAGCTTCCTTATAAAATGTAAAAACTCCATTGCAAAAAAAAAGCACCGGATCACATTGACTGTAAACTCTGTGTTGGTTAGATATTATAAGAGCTTAAAATTAATATCTTAATCGCAGTTTAAACAAAATTACAAACTGTTTATAAAAACAGAAATAGATACATAACTGACACTTTTGTGTCCGACGACGATTCTTCTGTTGTCCGCGAATCGCAAAGTGATATTCATATTTCAAATATGGTATTTACATTAATAATATCATTGGAAAAAAAAACATGTACATATGTATGTATTTTTGTCACTACAATACGTATGAACAATGCATAATCGTGATTTGCAATGCAAAAAACTTTAACCATTTTGCCAAAATTGGTGTGTATGCATATTATAGAAGAATTTAATCATCTGTAAATTTAATCTTTTTCCCTTGAAATCCTTGCTTCAACATCTCCCGCTCCTTCATTTTAGCCAGCCAAGAAGGATGCAAATTTGCATCTTCTTCTTTGTCAGTGGCATTAGTTGAGTTGTTTTTGTTTGTGCCTTTGTTAGTCTCGTTACTTATTTTCTTTAATTTCATGGTTATTGTTTTCTTTTTTTTCCCGGAAGACTGTTTATCAGAATACTTTTTATCGAAATTTGTATCATTTTTGTCTTGTTTGTTTGTACGATTATTCGACTGAAATGCTTTGGTTCTTGTATTATATTTGTGACTTTTTTCTTGTTGTATGGAGACTCTATTGTTTGTTTTGTAATTTTCATTATCTTCCGTAACAAAAAAGTCATCTACTACTTGTGCTCGTTCAGTTGTGTTGACTTCTGGGCTTTCAGCACACGTTTGCGCGTCTTCTTTCTCTTGTTTGTGCGTTTCTTGCTCTTCTAAGAGCTCTGTAAATCTCTTTACAGTACCTTCCTTCGTAATGCTACATGGTTTAATTGTAACACTTGATTTAATTGTATTAACATTCGGCTGCTTGTCTACAACACTCTCCTGTAACTCATCTTCTTTTTCTAACTTTTGCACCTTTCCTTCATTTGAAGACATACTTTCGTCGCTTGTTGATTTCTTGCGTTTTTTATGTGAATTCTCTTTATTTCTTACTTCCTTTGATGCAGTCTCGCATGCCTTCTCGCCTCTGGAATCATTTTGCGAACGTTCTTCAGTACTTTGATCAGAATTAACCGTCTGCTTCCTTGGAGTTTTATTATGAGCGACAGAATTATTTTCTTTTGAAGAGTGTTTAGTTTTTGCAACATTATTAGTTCTTAATTTTGTAGATTTCTTCTTTTCTTCTTTTTCCATCACATACTTTTTACAATCTGGATACTTATCTTTAAATTGTGTCAACCTCTTGTGTAAAGTTTTGTAATATGTGACTCTTGCTTTAATACGAATATCATTAGTTGATGTGGGATCTTGCAATATTTCAGCAAGCTCTCTCTCATTTATGATTCCAAACTTGGAAATATCGTCGTCTTTAATTCTTTTTAACGTTTGGATCTCATCAATAAGTTTATCCGCTTTTTTCTTGTATTTCTCTTGTTGTATTTCATTCCCATGCTTGTTCCGTAAACGTCTAGCTTCTTTGATCAACTTGTTTATCACACACAATCGTGCCTGACGAACTGTATGTCGCAGAAGAACAATCTAAAAGATATGTCAGAAGATTTGAAAAGTCCACAGAAAATATAAATCAATATCTTTATGTAGCAATAATGAGGGTATACAAAAAAAATAATTTGTAGTCTAGATTGTATTTATGTAAATTATAGGATTAATACACATCTTACCTCGTTATTTATTTCAGCTTTCGCCATTCTAGCGTTAAACAAACGTTAACTTGACCTTGACTTTTTAGTGGCTATCGGGCTCCAAAAATCCGCTCATAAGTCAGTAAACAAAAATAAACACGAATAACCTCAACAAATAGTCTGTATGCTTGGAGAAGATATCCTGACAAGGTTTTTACTTTGTTGTTCAATCCGTTCACTTTAAACACACCTCGAGCCAGTTGCCTCTAGTTTGCTAGCGCTATCTTTATTGATTATTAAGAAAGCATTCACTTTAAAAATTTAAAGCGCTGTGAACGTCAGTCTCGATCGTTCTTTAACATTTACTAAACAATATAAAAGAACTGCGCAAACACATGGTATAGTAAATACACGGATCGAACACATACTTTAGGGTCAGTTATAAATGTTTTCGATTAACGCAATTGGTCAATTATTGACCAATCGCGATTGAAACGTAATTAGCGCAAGTTGACCAATCACAAGACTTTCGAGAGAATATCCCAGACGTTTTTTTTACGACATTGCTCGTCTGGGATTGGCCAATTCGCTTGCCGCTTTAGTTTCTTCGTGTGTTCCCAGTTTAATCGGCCAATGTGATTGGTTAGAGCGTCATCATCAACTTCACCAAGCATAACTGTTTTTGTTGTCCAGAACAGATCTTTCCCGCACTGGCTGCACTAGTTTTCACAGTCTATTTTTTTTTATCTACATTAGAAGGAAAAAGATAGACTGTGAACTAGTGCAGCCAGTGCTGGAAAAAAAAACAAACCTTTTATTGGTCGGCGCGTGTATTGGCGAAATAAGTCAGCGCACCAAACCGCCATCTTCCGACCCCAGCAACGAGTCAACCGTGTTATTTGTACGTGCTGTCCAAAGGTGTTCTCTCGATATCTTATATATGCCTTGTTATATTCATTGAACGGCGTACTGGGCTTTTTTTTTTCTCTGTTGTAACTGAGGATTCGACTGTGAACTGCCGCTGTGCGTGCATCTATCTGAGTTTGCTCCGATCTGCTCTGCTTCTTTCCTTTTTCGCTCCCGAGTTTGTCTCTCGCCTGTTGAGTGCCTTCTGCCTTATTCTATCTGGCTTGCTTACTTGCCTGCCTGTTAGCTGTGCATGCCCGCTCTCTTTTCTTCACTTTACTGTGCGGTGGAGTGTTTTCGCGTGTGTAAACCAGCGCGTGTGTAGACTAGTGCTTTGCATGCCCACATGCTTGAGGATAGCAGCATGGATTATGATGACGCCCGGGAGATTTCTCTCCCGGGCGCGTCTTCTTCTCTCATCGAGGCCAGGCCATCGGATGCTCCGGACGGGACCGCGCGGGACGAGAGTGAATTGCGGTCGCAGTCGCGTACACCGCTCACCTGTAAGAAGCGAAATCTGCCTACTCAGGTTAGCCCTGTTGGCAAAGGCGCCATTAAGAAAAAACATATAGAATCCGCCTTTGCGGATCTGGAGGCCCGTCAGGCCTCCAAATCGCCTGATAATCGCAGGCCATTATTAATTAACACTTCGCTCACGGGCGAAATTAATACAAAACAAAATAATAATAACAATAACACGACTATTGTAGAAGGATTATCACTCGTCGACAATAATAGATATCAGATTGACTCTGTACAACCATACATCGTCTTTATTGAAAGGTCACGCACATATCAACATCAACACTCACAGAATTCAGATAAACAGCTCTCCGTTGTCGGTTTGGGTAAGCGCTTATTTACAGCGGATAATAATATATTTAAAGATTCCTTTGACCTTAAAGTCAAAGGTAATTCCAAATTCTCCATCTGCTTCACTACATCTAAACAAGCAAATGCCTGCGTTGATTCTTTCAAACAATTTTCGGACAATATCGTTCCGGGTGAAACGTGGCATGCGTTTATACCTAATTATAAAGTTATTAAACAATTTATTATTCGCGGCATAGATGAAAATGAGGAACCAGAGATAGTTCGCTGCTCTCTAAGACCACCGCCTGAATGGGACTCGGAATGGACGCCGCCCTTCGAGGTAACTAAATTACGTCGTCGAGTCCGCACCTCTGAAGCCCCCACTTCTCGGAACACGACTACAACAACTACAAATAAAACAGATACTTCTTATGCTTACATTGATACAGATTTATATATAGCTAAGTTTAAAACAGTTTACATCCCCACCTCCTTGATCTACATGAGCAAACGCGTTTTTCTTGACCCGTTGGTTCCTAGGGTCCGCAGATGCAATGCCTGCCAACGCTTCGGACATCTGGCACAATATTGCAGGTCGGGCACGGCCCCTCATAGGATCATTTGTGAGAGATGCGGTGAGAAAGGACACGCCAAATCCGTGTGCACTGGCCCCGCGCGATGCATCAACTGCATCAGAGCCCAACTGGACCGAGTGGATCATGAGGCCTCTGCTGGCACTTGCCCATCCTTCCTGAAGGAGAAAGGCATTCGGATGATTATGGCCAGATTTAACGTCCTACGACCGGAAGCCGACGAGATATATATTGAATGCGGAGGAGTTCCCGGCCGGAGATGGACCCGATATTCTCGCGCGATCCCTAACCCTACTTTGGGTGATTTTCTACCACCTCGTACGACGGCCCCGTCTTATGCAGACGTTGTGGCCGCACCATCATCAAAACACCCGCCAGTGGAGATGCCGGTACATCGCGCGTGTCGAGGCCCTAGTTGGCCCCCTATACCGCTACCACCGCTCTCTCCTCGATCTAAACCCGCTCGCGCCACCTCTCCCACTCCTCTCCCTACTATGCTTCCTTCTCATAATAATCCCCCCTCGAATACTATTTTAGATCCTCTAAAGCATTGTAATAGGCCTAAGGCCAGTGTAGCTTCTCGATTCGTTCATTCCGCTAATGCTAACTCTATTATTTCAGCCGAGAGCAGTATGGCTCCGTTCGTTTCTGCCGATCTTCTTCAGCGTGTTAAATCAAAATATACAGAGAAATTCGCTACAGACATATATCTTCCGGATACAGTGAGTTATAACCTCATCTCTTCTATCCTCGAGGTAATCTTCTCTTGAAATCTAACTTTCTTTTTATCATTACCGAGCACATGTTACCTTTAAAAATTTTGCAATGGAACTGTAGAGCCCTCTTTCCTCGACTTGCCGATTTAAATTTTCTTTTAGAGAAGTATAAAGTTAGCATAGCTACTCTTTGCGAGACTCACCTCTCGCCGCAATCTGTCGTGAACTTCGCTAACTATTCCATTGTCTCTAAGGATCGGAACCGTTTTGGTGGAGGAGTGGCCATCCTCATTGAAAAAACGTTTAAATTTGAATTACTCTCGCACGATCGGGTACAACATGTGTGCAGCGAGAATGCGTGCGAGGTGATCGTTGTAAAGGTTATGTTAAATCCTAATTCCTTTTTATATATCATCTCTATTTACAGTCCTCCTAGAAGAAGCGGCTCTTTTACCGGACAGGGATTCTGGGAGAGGTTCTTCGATATTTGTTCCGCCTTCCATCCAGCCATTATTTGCGGTGATTTTAACGCTAAGAGCCCCCTATGGTCTCAGAGTCGTGAGACATCCGACGCGGAGGGTTCGAGGATAGAGAGTGCTCTCCTGTCATCCGATTGGATGTGTATAAACTCTGGCGTAGACACTTGGTCTTCTCGCGACCTGTCCGCCTCCTCTGCTCTCGATCTCACTTTTGTCGAACCCTCTTTATCTAATAAATGCTCCTGGAACGTTCTTGACTACTCCTACGGTAGCGATCACTTTCCCATCCTCATTTCTATTTCCGATGTCTTATGGAAATGTTCCCGGGCGCCCGTCTATCTCCACTGTTAACGTCGAGTGGGATCTCTTTCGGGATCGCTGCCTTGCCACTCTTTCTTCGTTACAGCCTCCTGTCTCTGACAGTGTTGATGCTGCCTATGAAAGTCTAATCTCGCTTATTACAAATGCTCTTACTGACACAGGAGCTAAAGTACGAAAATTCCTGAGGCATCGTCGGAAACCGCCTACAGTATGGTGGAACGACTCATGCATGCAGGTTATCCGAAACAAGCGACGTCTTTTCCGGCTCTTCAAGTCTCGTCCTTCTATCGCTTCCTTTCAAGCTTATCTTGATGCTGCCCGGGAGGCGAATCAAATTGTTCGGCGTCGCAAGAGAGAGACCTTTCGTGAGTTTTGCTCCTCACTCTCTGCGACTTCGGATCTCAATAAAGTGTGGGGGACCGTTCGGGCATTTACTTCCGCCCGACAAGCTGCCCGGGATGAGTCAAATCGCAACAACATTCCTAAAACTAAATTTTACGAGGCTTTCGACAAAATTGCGCCTGTAAATTACTCTCCTCCTAACATTGATCTCGCAGTATTCGGCGACGAGTTATTCCCTCCACCTTCCTCAAACGACACGTCTTACCTAACATCCAACATATCCGAAACTGAGTATTTTTCAATAATCTCATCTTTGAAGACCAAATCGGCNTCTGGTCCCGATCTTATCTCCAACAAAATTATCTCGGAGCTGCCCAGGGATCTTCATATGGCAATCCTAAATTTATTCAACTATATGCTCACCTCTTCTCAGTTTCCTTGCCAATGGCGTAATTATTTTGTCGTTTTTATTCCCAAACCGGGGAAAAAAGGTGCTCTTCGACCTATCTCACTTGCTAATAACTTGCTCAAAGTTTTAGAAAAGATTATTTATAGGAGGTTGGAATGGTGGGCCGAGAATAACCATATTATCCCGGCCTATCAGTTTGGCTTCCGCAAGGGCCTTTCTTGCACTGATAACATTGCAACTCTTACATCACATATAAGAATTGCTAACCTCGAGGGCTTGGCAACAGGTGTTGTTTTCCTGGACCTTGTCGGGGCCTTTGATTGCGTTGTTCCGGGTATCCTTTTATTTTTTCTAGAAAAATACCACCTCCCGCCAATAATTATCAACTTTATTGCCTCTATTATTAACTACCGTCATTTGCAGAGGTTTTTGTCCGGGGTCCCCATCCAGTCGCGTCCGACTTCGCGTGGTCTTCCTCAGGGCTCAATTTTGAGCCCCTTGCTGTTCAACATTTATCTTTCCTTCATTGATAAATGCTTACCAGCCACAGTGCACGTTGTCATGTATGCCGACGACATAGCCATTTATTGCTCTCATAAGACCCTCGATTATATTGCTGGTCGGTTGGAGCGAGCGCTTGAGAATCTACGTTCCTGTTTACTGGATTTAGGTCTGAGAATCTCTTCTGAGAAGTCGTGTTATACCTTCTTTTCTGCTCTCAGACCGCGTTATCTTCGTGTTCTCCTTCGAGAGCAGAGGATCGCGATTCGCATCGATAACGTCCCCCTGGAACTTAACTGGACCCCCAGTTTTCTAGGGGTGGTTCTCGATGCCAATCTAACCTGGAGGGCTCACGTTGATTCTGTTCGTAGGCGTGTCCGGCCTCGCATTAACCTCATAAAGGCTTTTGCCGGCATCAAATGGGGAATACATCCCCTTTTGCTTCTCAACGTGTATAAGGGCTTTGTCAAGTCGATCTTTGATTGGGGCTCACAGATTTTCTCCCCTCTTCCGGGCGTTGAGCAAGGCAAGCTGGATAGGCTGCAATTTGCTTGCCTTCGCATCCCTCTTGCTCTCATGCGTACAACGCCCACTAACGTTCTTCCTTTGACTATGGCTGCGTTCCGTAATGTACTGCCAGTACTGTCAGTACTGTAAATAGCGTTCCGAAATAAGATGCAGCGCACTGCGACAGTACTGGGCTGCGTTCGTTTTTTACTGGCAGTACTGGCAGTACTGAAAATTTCGTTCGGTTTTAGCTGGCAGCGCGCTGCGATAGCATCCTAGTTCCATCAATGACGTCATAAATGGAAGCCATATTTGCACTGCGATCACTGTAG